TCGGAAGTGGTATTTTCTGAATCTAGAACCATACTACAGATTTCGCTGTCCGTTAATTGATTGATGATTAGGGCATTGTCGTTGCTATGAAAAATTTCTGTTATATCTTCTTCATTTATTACCGCTTCTCCACATTTCTTTACAAAATCCAACAACTGGAAAATTTCACCTTTAGTTTGCGATGTCCGAAAACCTTCAAATTCGCAGCTATCATCTTCATCGTTGTCACCATAAAATATGGTAGCTGGCCATAAATTATGCCAAGCATTTTTTAACGTATCTGGAGACACATCCTCCCAACATGCATGCGCATGCGTAAAGCATACAAAAAAAAAAGTTTGTGGCTTTGAGGTCCAGGTTATAGATCATTCCAGATAATGAACATCCGGATTACGGACTTTGTACTGTATATGCATATATTATGTATTGGCGAAATTTAGAATTACCATTATTGTAAATATGATTCTTTTTTTAAAACCAGCTTTACTTAGATTTATATTCTGTTATTTCTGATGATGTACTAAAGAATAAACTTTCAAGTTCTAAAGTCTGTACACTTTTCCATTCTACTTCTAAAGTTTTTGTAGTTATTTGCTATGACAATAGATGGCATAGCACTGAAATTTTGAACCTGTTTTCACTTTCAGAAAGAACACACTCACTGATTTGATTAAATTTATGTGTCTGTATGTACAAGAAGTGGGTATATTGCAGTTTGTTGTATAATATTGATTTATTTTTGGATGTTTGCAGATTCCCTTATAAAATATTAAATATACTGCCTGATAGTTGCAGAGCTGTCAACCTTTTTGCTAAATCCAGAAAAGTCTTGATTTTTCATCACGTTATCTGATCTTTAAATTTTCTGTTTTTGAATGTATCGGAATTATCTATTTAAAATAAAGCTCTAAAAAGCTGCTAATCTCTAAGTTTCAAAGGGAAAGGAATACTGTGGTAAAATATAAAGATTTTGATTACCAATTCTTCCCCAAAAAAAGACTTCTAAATGAAAATCAAATTGTGTAATTCAGTGCCCCCCCCCCAAAGAAAACGGAAATTTCAGCAAAAGTTTTCTGATTTATTTTTACTCCATCTGAAAACTTTTAATACTTAAGGACATTTTATGAAGGCTTAACTAATGTTTAAATGATTAATATTTCTGCTTAATTTAACTTCAAATGTATAAGTGGTGCATTATATATTTAGCTTTGCTTCAAATGTATTAATGGTATGTTGCTAACATTTTTCTGTGAAATTATCTATACTTTAATTGTTGATTTTATTTTTATCATCATTAAACGTACTTTAATAAATCAGAGCGTTTTTTACCTTACACATGTTTTCATCAATGTGAAATTTCAAGAAAATTACAAAATTGAATGCAGTTAGCCAAAAAGTCTAGAATAATAAGTTTAATACCAAATCATGCATTATAAAGTGATTTTAAATGAAATTTATGAATTTGCTCCTTTTTTAATTTCTATTGTTGTAATGAACAAAAATCTCTGCTTTTCATATTTCAAGGTCAGCAGCTATGCAACTGGTGACTGGTGAGAAATAACTAGATTTTGCTGTGCCATACTATGTCTCAGGGATTTGTATTCTATTAGCAAAAAATGAGTTTTTAGCTGTTGTTCATTCTGAATAAGCTGACTGGTGAGGACTGCCTCCCTCCCCTTTTTGAGATTATGCCACATATTTACCGTAAGATAAGTGTCATTGATGGTGAATATTGCAAACAAGTAAGTACAATCATGAATGAGTTGTAGGGTGGCTCTAATTAAGACAGGTTCTTATGAAGTTGCAACAGAAATGTGGCTCGCAAAAAGTGTCATTTTGCAAATACAAACTGCTGCCTCATCTAAAGGAACAGTTTATAAATATGCATTATGGTGATTACAGAAAGAGCACAAGTTAAGATGTGAATATGGTTGGAATATAATGGTGAGAGTAGGGGAACAAGCATGATATCAGAACAATGCATAGTAACTTTGCATATCAGAATCCATTATGTCAAAAAAGTAGTGTTCCAACATATCTCTAGATCATATCCATTTCCCTGAAGTTATTTGTCCTTAAAGTGCTCATCCACACAGAGCAGAAGGTATGACTGACATACTATAAAATGGAGATGTCATTTGCTTCATATAGCTTCCACATTCTGTGGACATGAATCCCATCAGATATACCTAGATGCTCTCAATAAACAAGTAACAAACAATACATCATCACCCCGAATTATACAGGAACCTCAAAGTGTCTTGATAGAAAGATAGGAAAATATCCCAGCAACACTGTTGAAGACATTTAAAGGGAATGCCAAACTGGTGTGCAGAGTATTCTTGAGTTTGAAGAGTGCACATACACTGTGAGGTTTGTTGCTGTTCATCTGAAAGGTTACATTTCCACCGATTGATGCTGTTTGGAATTACTACTTTTTTCTATCTTCATCTGGAATCTCTGTTGTTTCAGTTTATTAAAGATGCTGTAGTTGCACTTCTGTAGATTTTGCATGCATATCTCTTAAAACTTGTCCACCATTTGTTATATCAAAGTCTTGTTGTCCTGTAGTAACTGTCAAGCATGTGTATTTGAAATTTATGTGCACTTACGGAATACTTAATAGATTTGCTTCATTCATATACTCAATGGGTAACAAGTGAGAGCAGCAATTTTTGATGGAATTTTTCTTCGGATAAAATTATTTATAGATTGCTTAATAGCAGCTTACTTAATTATAAATTTTGTAATCTGTTTTATGTTTCAATTTTTCCATCTTATTGCTGAAAGCTGCAACAGTGTCACATCTGCATAAAACATTTTAAATTATACTCATCTGTGGTGAGCAACTTATAAGTTACCTGCCCTCAAGCATATTTGGAAAAATATTCTTTTCCTTTGTTATTTTTGTTATTTTTAAGTTTTCTTGGATTTTTATTTTTTAGTATAATTTTTTTTATGTATGTGAATACTGTTTGTTATAATTATCATCCATGTTTATTATTATTGTTCTGAAATACTTAATTATATAAATAATTGGTATAAAGAAAAGTTAAATTATGTGGCATCTATTTGATTTTTTGAAATTTATTCTATCTGTTTTGTAGTGGATATGTATTTGTCTGTGAGGGGGGGTAGTTAATGAGAAAGTGTTTTAAGCCCGCGTTCACAAGAGCAGATTCGACCAGCAGTGTAAACCGGTTCTTCCAACGTGTCCCATTCGCCCGGCAAACAAGCTTTAACTGCCTCTCACAATTGGAGGTAGAACTTGGTTGAATGTTCCTACTTCTCCCGGAGCAGGGCAAATGGGGAGATTTCCCATACTGCATTACGACATGGCTGACGTGCAACTGACTGCTCCCTGGACTGTCAGCGAAACAATCATTTTGATAGATATCTGGGGATGCGATATCATCGAAAAAAAATTAGATGGAACTGTACGAAATACGGAAATTTGTAAACAAGTATAGACAAGGCTATCTCATGCTGGGTATTCCAGAAATACCGCTCAAATTAAAACTAAAGACGCGCATTTCGGCTTCAAGGGGACTTGATACCTTTTGAATGTTTTTTTTTTTATTATTATTTGAGAACATTTCCTCTACTTTTTATAAATATTATTAAACTGAACTGCCTTTTTTTTTTTTTTTTTGTGTGTGTGTGTGTGTGTGTGTGTGTGTGTGTTTGTGTGTGTGTGTGTGTGTGTGTGTGTGTGTGTGTGCAAGACAAAATGGTTTTAAGCTGAAAAAAAATTTTTTGCCAGTAAATTTTTTTAAATGTTTGGAAGAAATGTTTAATAACTAAAATGTCTTTCTTATCCTACAAGGTTTTTCCTCCTATTTTTCTTATTGCATCTATTATAGTGTTCTTAATAACCTTAAGGATCAATTTTGCAATTAATGAATTAGTTTTTGAGAAAAATTAAAAACATGTTTTTATGAAAAAACTTCGAAACAAATATGATCTCAATCACATTTTCACTTCAAATAATTTTTCTTTTCAGAATTTTGGAAAACCCATTCTTGTATCTATAAAGTGTATAATTTTAGATAAGTGGTAAAAATATTAAATAATTTAGTAAGTTTTAGGACCTTAAGTAAAAGCATTTATCAAAAAAATGCAAACTAAGAAAGTGCGATTTAAAGAATATAAACTGTCATCAAAAATCATTTCAAATTTCTTAAAAATTTTATTACTGAATTTCAATACATACATATATCTATATCTCTCTCTCTATATATATATATAATAAAGCCTAGTGCTATTCAACTGGTAAATATAAACATAAATTACAAGCTTTTATTTAGAATCTTTGTTCAAAATATGAATTAATTATAATAATATATTTTCTAAGACATTTATAATTAATATTAATTTGTTGTTTTATTCATTTTTTCAAAAAGCAAAGGTTGAAATTTTAAGAGCCACAAAACATTTTATTTAAAACCGTTCAGCTGCATAGGTGATTTCTTTTCTTCTTTTAACCATTTCATCTTGTACATAAATTGCATTTAAAATTAATTTAGGTGTATTTTCATTAATTAAAGAGTTAATGGCATTCTATAGCAATAGTAAACAATGTCAAAAAAGATGTAAGCAAACGTTAGAAATCTGCCAATCCGTTTGTTCGTTTTGCATTTGTGACATTATTGCTCATAGTGGCTTATGGGTTAAGGGATGGAAGACGATGTGCATCTGAACTGGTCCCGAGGCTGAAACTGTTTCATATCCCTGTTTCTCCCTAATACAAACAGCAGCTGCGTGAAAGATGGTTGCATGTGAACGGGGCTTTATTGAACTAAACTGGAAAATTCTTTATTGAGATGTAATTGTGTTTTATTTAATGTTTTATCTATTCGCCAGAATTCAGCATAATTTTTTCTCATCACTTTTTCATTAGAAATTTCCCACCCTTCAAAAATGCTGTAATAGATTTTTGTGCTTCGGTATAATGTATGCTGTACTGCATGTTTATACCTGTTCCTTTTTTTCTTTCTTAGTATTTCAGTAATAGACTTCCCTGCTTGCGTTATTGGGGAGCAGCCAGAGCTCACAGAAGAAACTCTGGTAGTGTGTAGATTATTTTTTTTATTTTTAACTTGCTTTTTAAGATTTTGTAGCTATATGCTGAGTTGTAATATACATTTTTGTTTTCAGGAAATGGGAGACCAACTGCCTTACTGTTGGAGAAACCTGTTTTCTTGCATTAACTTGCTTCGTCTTTTGAACAAATTAACTAAATGGAAGCATTCACGAATAATGGTAGTTGAGTATATATATATGTGTGTGTGTGTGTGTGTCTATATATATCTATATATATATATATGTAAGCAGTTAAGTAACGAGCATAACTGGCACCCAGAGCAAAATACCTTTTTGGCGGCCCCTTCCCCGAAAAAACACAGTGATATGATGAAAATCTTGTTTGGAGACCATTTAGCGCCCACACCCCTTGCTCCCCCTTCACTATTATGTAATTTTACTGTATGTAGATATGATAAAATATGATGGCCATGTTAAGAAATAATTGATGACCTTAATTTTTTTATAAATTTTAATACAATTTAGATCATAAATGCTTCATTATTTCATAAATCACGATTTCATATTTTTAATTTTATTATTCCTACATGCCATCTTACTAGATTTAGTATCCAGAAAAATCCCAAATCTGGAATCGCAGAATTCCCGATGAGTCCGGATCTGCGACTTGCAGTAATGGTGCTTGCAGTATGTATTCAGGCATATTATATTAACAAGAATTAAATTACTGAAATTCAAGCACTAAATTTACTATTGAAAAATATTAGATTTTAATGCTATGTATAAAATTCTGAATGGTTCGCAAGTTACCTCCTGTGCCTCCCATTAAAGCTTGACTTGTTTTGACATCAGAAATATTTTTTGCAGAATATTTCCAAAAATATTTGGACTATTGCATTAAGTTACAGTGCACTTTATCATTCGTGCTTTTGCTGCATTCAAACAACCCATTGGTCACAAGTGATAAATTGGATTAATTATTATTTTACTGATATATCTGAATTTAAGTTGCTGCCTGACATATTTTCAGTTGGATATAATAATCTTTTAATACTGAATTGCCATGGGGGTTATTGGCAACCTACAGGTTCTGAGTGTCCACTAAACTTGACAGAAAATTTCAGTTTTATTTCACCTATGCAGAATTGCTAATATATTTAAGATTTAAGAGTGTTGTTTTTTTTTGGGGGGGTGGATATTTGCAGTATTAATTGTTGCTAATATCATGTATCACGTATCTGGCAAACTTTGTTTTCTTTGCTAATATATACATTTTAATACATCTAATTTGCATTTATGTACATCAAAACAAGAGATACTATCTACAATCTAGATATGTAGTTTACATAATAATTCATAGAGGTTAATTTCTAATTTCAAAATAATAAATGCATGTGTATATTTTATCAAAATAACCTCTTTTTATGATTATTATGTTTAGAATGAGATTGTATTCAATTACGAAGTGTATAAATTTGTAAATTGTTTTGCCATTTAAGTGAACTTGGTTTTGAGAAATTCTTAGAGAATTTTCATGCTAAGATTTGAGAATTTCAAGACAGAACTAGCATGTCTTTCATATTTAAACAAGGGAAGTGCATTTGAAAACAAAATAATTCTTTATAATAACCATATTTTTTTAACCCTTTCATTAGATAAAATTTGTTGCAAACTATGACTTTTAAATCTCCAACTTGATATAAGGAAGAAGGAATTAGGAACTGAAGTCAAAATGCTTTTGATATTGTATAAATTTTTTCTTTGCTGCTTTACTGATCAGCTTCTTATGTGCTTTTGAGTTCTTTTGAATTTATTTGCATAGATTTTTAATAAAGATTTCTTTTTTCTTTGGTTTTCAAGAGCTCTCTAAGGTATTCATATGTTGTATTATGTAAATCTTTGTGCATTTTACCCTTGTACCATTCTGAAAGTGTGATATTTCCATTAATTCTGTTATAAAATACTTTCATCTTTTATCAATGGTCAATTTAATTAAATCCCAAGAAAAGTTTAGTTTCAAAGAATGCAAGTGTATCTGTACAATAAATCTACTTTTTTGTTAATATTTAAAGTACAGTCAAAAGTAATCCGGACTCGTCGGGACTTCGGCGATTCCGGATTATAGATCATCAATTTAAATCTGGTAAGATGGCACGCAGAAATTATAAAATTAAAAATATGAAATCGTAATTTATGAAATAAAGAACAATTATGATCTAAAGGGTATCAAAATTTACAAAAAAAAAGCTTAAGATTTATTTGTTTACTTTACTTTCTTCGCTATCGGAAGCGAATTATAATGGCGAGGAATTTGATTTAAATCATATTAAAGACGGAGTACATCAAGATTAAATACTACATTTAGTAGGAATTATAAGCCAAATAAAATAAGAACATCTACCCTGAAGATAAGTAATAGTGCTGACAGATCAACTTCCAATTCATTGCGCGCCGCGGCGTTCGCCCGCCGCAGAGCAGCGTGAAATTGATAAACAGATTTCGGAATTGTTAGATAAACAAAGGATATGCCTTTATCCATTTTTTGCAGCAATTCCACTTTTTGTTTAATGGGCTTCGAAACATACTTTCGCTTTGTAGATCCTTTATATATTAGTAAATATATATCGGAAATTATATTTGACATAATCGAAAGTTCAAACTTACTTTTATAAAATTGCTCTAACAGTCTGCAAAAAATAATAAGCCGGATCCAATTCGAAGATTAAGGAACAACGCCATCTGCAACATTAACTGAATTAGATAATTTTAGCTTAGCGTATATCGTCCGTTATACATTAAACGCGCATGCTTAAACGTATTTTTAGCATGCGCACACGCATATTTGCAGCCGTAAAGGTCTTACGCGCATGCGTCAACGCGACGCATGCGCAGAAAGTTTGCAGTTTTGAGGTCCGGATTATAAATCATTCCGGATTATGGGTGTCCGAATTAACGACTTTTAACTGTATTTTTAAACTCATGGTAAAGTGGAAAACATTCTGCTTCTTGACGAGAAATGCATTTCATCATGTGGTCTAACGAAGTCTGACTTTCAGTTCCCTATCTACTTAATTCCTTGGGTCCCTTCCTGAAGGATAAATTTTTTGTTAAAATCAATATATATGCCGTACTAATTACTGAAAGAAATTATATGTGAATAATAAAATGTTCTGATGTTCCAGTTCAGTTTCATTATAAATTCATGATGGTGCAATATCAGGGGCAAATTTGAACCTTCTTGAGCCAGAAACTATCTCATATTAGTTTGCTACTAGAATCACAGTTTCTGTCCAAAATCTGAAAGTACTGAAGATAGGTTCGGTAAAATTTAAGCTATAACAAAGGGTATTAATTTATTGCATCTGATGTTTGTCCAGGAGACATAAAATGAATGTATTGTTACGTTTTATTCTTCCTTCTGACACCAGTTGTTACGTTATTTTCTTCCTTCACGTTCATACGGAGTTTGTGAGGATTTGGAGTGAATAACGACAACACTTGATGAAGTATCAAAACACACTTTATTTGCCAGTATTGTCAGGACAGCTCCAAAACACGTTTTACAGTCGTCGATAAACTACTATAAACACGCTGACATGATCAGCGACACAGCCTTCAGGTTATCAGGCTATCACGGTGGAGACAGTTTCACTGCAAAGCACCAGAGTACAGCTCCCGACTCTGCTCGGTCATATAACAAAGGGTATTAATTTATTGCATCTGATGTTTGTCCAGGAGACATAAAATGAATGTATTGTTACGTTTTATTCTTCCTTTTGACACCAGTTGTTACGTTATTTTCTTCCTTCATGTTCATACGAGGTTCGTGTGGATTTGGAGTGAATAACGACAACACTTAATGAAGTATCAAAACACACTTTGTTTGCCAGTATTGTCAGGACAGCTCCAAAACACGTTTTACAGTCGTCGATAAACTACTATAAACACACTGACACAATCAGTGACACAGCCTTCAAGTTATCAGGCTATCAAGGTGGAGACAGCTTCACTGCAAAGCACCAGAGTACAGCTCCTGACTCTGCTCGGTTGTTCTCGGAACTCCACGTACTCTCAAGACTCTCCACGCTACAACTCGCAATACACTTGACGACACACAAAGCACCGCTCCCGACTCTTCGGTTCAGCCGTTCCCGGAGCTCATCCGTGACCTTCGTGAATAGATGGCCTGGTCAGCTTCAAAGTCATGTGATTTGATATCACGAAAGGATCTGAACTTTCACCCTTTGCGCTTCGCTGTGGACACTGTAAGCGAAGAATTCCTATGTTAGTTTGTGTGCTGTTCGTTAACGCTGTGTGTATATGAGCCGGTTTTCCTTAGAAAGTCCTCCATAAAGGCATCCTTCCCCTTAGGCAGATAGCCCTAGTGTGCTTTGCCGTAATTAAATACACCACCATTAACGCTGCACTGTGTTTTTTCACTATTCATGCATTTTTTATTACTAAATTTGAGTTAAGTAATTTAAGTAAAGCAGTTGTGCTGTTTTGGTTTTTAAGTTCACACTGGTAGTTAAGTTTACTTATTTCTTTAGAATTTGTTAATAAATATAGCTATCGACTTCCTTGTAGAGCTAAAATGAGTTAAGTCTACTTTCGTGCCTGCATGATGTTGCATTTCAGTCTGCAAATCGAATTACGTTAAAACCAATGGATATTCAAGTTTCTAAAAGATACATTAAAACGGGATTTCTAGATTAAAAAAATTCCGAGTGAGCGTTATATGTGAGAAATATTTTTGAGAAGATGATATCATTTGGTACGATTATTTATCAAAAGATGAAGGCATTCTTAAGTTTGTAAAGGCCACCCTAAATTATAAACGATGCTTATCCATGCATTTTTTCTGATTGTCCAAAATACGTATCTGATAATCCGACATCTCCGAGGATGAGCACAGAGGAAAAAAAGAGCCAATACGGATAAACATATTTTTAATCAATTTTTGAAAAAGGACAAAATTGCATTTTTTGAGGATTTTCTTCTTCATTATGGAATAAGCTAAACATTTCAGATTTAATTTGACATAAAATCTGCTGATGGAAATTATATTTTATTGTTCAGTTTTAATCTACTGCCTAAAGTTGGGAAATGTATCTAACTGTCACTTCATATGAATACAGCAGCGTCTCTTGGACAAGAAGCCATTGAAATGGGAGTATGTAAAAATATATTAAATGGAAATACTAAACTTACTTTATGGA